CTACCAGTCTGTCTTTTAAAATTGACGTTAATCTTACTAATATTATAATGTGAAAGTTTAGATGGATGGACGTCTGTTACAAGTTACCTCCCAAACGGCTCAACGAATCTTGATGAAATTTAGCGCAGATGTAGAACATGGTCTGAAGGAACACAAAGTTATTTGTTATTTTAATCTAGATCTGCAAAAGTCTGTCACTTAATTCCTAGATATAACATTAGTCAAGAAAAGTTTATTACTATGTTGCCCAGTTCTTGATTTACATACAATGTAGTAAACTACAGCGTGATGCATATGTAACAAAGTTGTCGACAAGCTCGGCTCAAGTCTTTACAACCGCCTTTTTATCGTCACCACCACCGCCGAGCTTTATCGTCTACTCAATAAAAGCTCGCTAAAGCTCTCAGAGATCCGCATCTTAATGGTGTCGTAAACATCAGATGCGCGCGACCTATCCCCACTTATATGTTAATCTATTTAACCGATTCCAACGAATATCATCTGTATTAAAATTTACTCAATCAAGCCGATGTCTCCGAAGTATGTAGACGTACATAAGTGTAAAATTCAAAAGATACATTTTAGTGTACGTTAAAATGTTACCATTAAAAACATTAGATTTTAATGTACATTCACTTTTTGTTTTAATCAGCAAGATCTCGTTCCATATAATTCGAAAGAATAAAAAATAGCTATTTTAAAAAAAGCTATTTACGTTATTATAACGTTTAAAATTTGTTAGAAGCATATTGTTTCTTCTGACCCAAGACATGTGAACATTTTTTTGTTTTTTCTTTATTTATCATAAGAAATAATATCTTGAAAAATTCTACCTCTGACTGCACCATAAAGTTAAAGAAGTAAACACAATATAGAGAAGATGAAAGGTGCATCAACTTTACAGTTTCAATAGAGAGTTACAAAAGCGTAAAACTTTCGCGTCGCCGCCACCGCTGCTGCAGCACGGAACTCTCTCGCACTTGAATCAACATTTCTTTGTCCATATTCCACTTATGTTACTTTGAATTACACCTACACTTATCATTATTATTTATTTTAATTTATATTATATAACAAAACTTTAGACTTAATTCTGAAGGAAAAGTCAAAGTTCATTTGGCAATGACTCTTAAATCATTTTAGTATAATCTTACTTATTTATTCAAAAAATACCAGATTACTAAAACATCAGTCAAGTACATTGGTACCGAAAGTGGTTCAGGTGGATCTCCTGGTATTCAAGGAATAACCGTCAGGGGTGATGGCTGGAAATAACGTTCACAAATTGAGAAAATAAGGCAGCATCAGGGGTTCATCAATAAACTATGAGAATATCTGGCCCGCAACAAATAATACGATTCTCTAACGTAGATAAAATTAATCTTCACATAAACAATGGTATTGAAATAAAGAATTTATTCCCTTTACATGTGCACGACTTCAAAGAGCCGTGTAATGAGACACACGTAAGACATATAATAAAATATATCTCGACTCTTAATTACTTTGAGGTGCAACTTCAAATCGTATTGTCATCTCTGTTATTTCAAGAAGAATAAGAGAGATGACAATATGTTTTTATACATGTATTTTCGCAGTGGAAATAGGCTGTGTAATTCAGAGACGTGTGCCGGCGCATCGTTTTCGACCTCAACGAGGCAACTTTATTATTGCTTAATGAAGTGTAATACGTTTTGCATGTACTGACTTGAAATTCTCAACTTGTCGAGTTGTTGTTTTACTTCATAAGGGACAGTTCACACTGTGCATCTAACAAATTTATTTACGCAATATATTATAGTGAAACTTAACATCTAAATTAACGTCCTAACTTAAAAAACAGATTAGTTATTTTAGCCGGCTACGATCGTTAACCAGTCTCGTTTCGTACAGATGATATAATGGCATTTTTTTTATTTTTGTCTGTGTCGGATTGGATCGATTTAGGCAGGACTTTAACTAGAAGGTAGCTGATGCACGCTGGCATATTTTAATAGACTACTCCTTTCTTCTACGCTGACAAAGTCTCGGGCGACATAACACTACAAGAAGTTACCTCTCCACACAGTAATACCATGATTTCAAATAGTCAATTATAATCTTGTTAATTTATAATATAACCAATAGGGGGTAAACATTTGCGACCGCGTATTAGCCAGCGCAATGTTCATTATAGTAATGGACTGTATTTAAATCGGAAAGCTTCACTTTGATCCATCAAATTGATCCTTTGATCAAGGGGAAACAATACAGTGATTAAACTCTGTTAATTTATGACGTCATTAAATGAGTCATTAATCTTATATTATATATAAAATTCTCGTGTCACAATTTTCGTTCCCATACTCCTTCGAAACGGCTTGACCGATTCTCATGAAATTTTGTTAGCATATTGAGTAGGTCTGAGAATCGACCAACATCTATTTTTAATCCCGCGCGGACGTAGTCGCGGGCGACAGCTAGTATTATACATAAATATATGCAAATATTTTTATGGATGGATGTATGTTTCTTAGTAAATATCTCCAGAATGGCTGCACGAATCTCGCTGATATTTGACATATAATAGATGTAGAATATAACCTGAAAGAAGGTTTAGGCTACTGATTAAGTTTTTTTTTTTAATTCCACACTGACGGAGTCGCGGGCAACAGCTAATTGTCAATAGAATAATCACAGTTCTAATAGAATTCAAGAACAACCTTGACATCAGAATGATTGTAGAATTAAGAAACGCGTATCATAATCACACGACTATAAAAAATTGCTTTATCTGGTACTAAAGATCCTTTATAATATATTTAAAATGACTATCAAGAGGCATATTCTGGAATGTGTAAATTAAAACATATAAAATCATTGAACGATATCACTCGTACATTATGTGAGTGTAGCTCAGCATTACATTCGCGGTTAATTACACAAACAGTACAAGTAAGCAGTTAAAAGCGGAAATAACAATAACAAAAATCATTACTTTTCATCAATTGTAAAGTGAAAATTGCCGTACAAACAAAATTATGTCAGGTCATTGAACAAAACTCTTAAATTGAGTAAAACATTTTGGTATGACATCAAACGAAATGTCTATTTACACTTCAAAATCACAATAATATTTTATAAAATAACATAAATATACGTTTTTATAAAAAAAAGTATTGATAAACTAGAAACCCAAAACAAGAATAATGAGTTCACGTCGACAATAAATAACTAAAAACAATTCTGAATTTTCCTTTGTCCTGTGTGAATAGTTGTTTTCCGCTGTCGCTTATGACTCAGTCCGCACTGCAATGAATATTCCGAGGCCGCTAATATTCCGATTAATAATTGGAGAGCGCCTGAAGTTGGGAGCGAAATGAATACTGAATGTGCTACTTAATAAAATTGGAGAGTTCATTTCCTAATTAAAAACTCTTTGCGCTTTAAATTCAACGTAATGTTCGAATTTTCCGGTAATTTTACATTTCAAGTGGTTATCGGCGTTTATTTTAATATGTCGCGTGAAATACAGATTTGTAAAATGTCGTAAAATTAAAAACTTTCAATGAAAAATTAAATTAATTAAATCATTTTATATTTTACACGCGAAATACAATTGCTAAAATAGGTTTATCAAAACATGTTGCTTCTGTTTTTTTGAAAGGAGGATGTGTAGGATATCGATATGTTTTTATACAAGTGTTTCGACAATGAAAACCCACAGTCCCATATTACTTACTAATATTATAAACTCTAATGTTTAAAGGTAAGGCATAAATGTGGCATAGATGAAGAACAAAATCTGGAATAACTCATAGGCTACTTATTATGTTTTCATTTATTTCCGCGCGAGTGGAGTCACGAGCGTCAGCCGCAGACGTATATATTATATAATATTTACCTAATCTAAACATATCATGCTCAAGTCAAAAGGCATTGTTAATACGTGCGTTCTTCCGGTATTTAACTGTTCACTGTGTGTACATATGTGTGTGTAAGGGATGAACTGAGCAGGAAATAGTAACTTATTGAACGTCCGTTTCCTTTGCATAAGTTAAACGAGAAGGATGGGATTTCTTGGTTGCCTAGTAACGTAATAAGATTCGTAACACATGAAATTATAATAAGGCCTTACCTCGTATAGTCAGGTCACAAAATCCATAAACTTATTCGTAAGTGATACAATATTTATCTGTTCGCACGATATTGTATTGTATTGTATTGCCTTCAAATTGTTTGTGAGCGGATGTCACGTGGATTTGATGTCAATTCTATTTGTGACAGCCGAACTAACGACGACGCCATTCTGTCCTGACGTCTGATGTTTTAAAAATGTATTTACATAAACAATGTACTGATACGAGAGATTGTTATTTATCGTTCATTATTATCGTTTATTAGTTAACTCTCTAAAATATATAAGATTTTTGAATTTTTATTATTTCCATTTTTGAAAAGCTGCGGTACAGCGTAACATTACAAAATTTATCAATATTTTTATGACCTTCCATCATGTTCATCGTGTAAGGCTTTACAACCACAATTGTCACTTTGTTATCACGTTTAGATGGTTATTTATTGATTCTACAATCATCTGAGTCTATATTTAATGAAATAAAACAATTCTTTCTCAGATAAATCAGTTGTAACGAAAGTTTATCAGCGCCCTTTAGCTCAGCCACTTTCTTTATCTCGCCGTCACCCCGGGCGCGCGGAGGTCGTTGCCCCCAGCCTCAGGGTGCGGGTCACAAACCAGTTTCCGTTGATAACACATTATCACACCGCTATGCCACTTGTTCTATTTACATACATAGATAATATTACGTTGATGAAATTAGTATCACATACAACAATAGCAATTAACAAATTTCATAATAAATGGATTGATACTTGTGATGATGATCAACTTTCTGTTGCTAATTTCTTGTTCTGTTAAACATTTTCGTCCGAGCCTTGGCAGTCGCTCATTGTCTATTCTCTGGACCTAAACTCTACATGAAATATTATCTTTGTTACAGATTACTCTAATAACTCTTCATACACTAGTATCTAGTATCAAGATTACCACATCCACGTTACTTACAACTTAGAGAATGCTTCGCTACTGGATCTGTTTGGCGAGCGCGGTGTGCCTAGCGGGGCAGTGCTGCGCGAACTCCTGCCGGGACGCCAACCTCTGCTGCCCGGGCAGGGACAGCTCCTGCGTCGTGCAAAAGGCTCATCAGAATGCCATCATCGATGATGTGAGCGACAAACCCTGCTACTGCGACCACGCCTGCTTGAAGCTCGGAGACTGCTGTCCTGACTTCAGGGAAACTTGTGGAGGTAATAGATTATAGGAATATATAAACAGATAGTACTTTTATTAATCTAAAATTCGTTGTAAATAACAAAAAAACGTTTTATAATGCGTAACGTCAAACATTATGTATAGTAAAGGAACGCAAGCCCGTCGCCGGTGAGATCATTTAGCTTAATTTTGCGTCTGGGAAATTCAAAAATTACTGCCGCGTGAGTGATATGTAACACTCAACATCTGCCTAATGAAAAATAAATGCAACAACCTGCCTAAAAGCACCACGCAGCCTCGATGTCACCGTGAATGTGTTAACATCGTTAGTTTATGACCATACTAGCAATGTTATAAACTTCGAAAAATTATAAACTGCACGAATGCGGATGTCTACGGGCCACGGTCACTTCGTTATATTGGCCAATTGCCATTTTTAAATATTTACATTACATTCAAATGAAATTTAAGCAAATTTTTATAAACATAAATTATTTCATAAAATACGAATAGTAATAGAAAGGCATTGCAGGCAATTATCGCTCCTTAAATAGTTAAAGGAAAAGGAAGAAGTTTACAATTTTACGGTGACACAGGAGTGCGACGTGTCCCCCGCTCCCCGCTCCCCACGCCCCTCACCTGTGTGTTCACACATCTCTGTATTTAGAGTTAATGCCCACCCACGTGCCGGAGGGGATGCTAACGGAGTTTTATGTTTTTAGGAAGCTTTCAAAGCTCGCATCGGATATAACGATATTATGTTAATATACACCTGAGAATTTGATGGACTTCATACATACTTATATGTTCTTAATATAACGTAAAAAAACAACAATATTTTCAACAGATTTAAACAGTTTTGATACTTTAAAAACACATAAGCTCCTAGGCACATGCGCTATACAGACTGTAGAAATACCTACTAGTAATTAATAATTGTTTTGTGCAAAAAATCAAATATCAAGAGTGTTGGGTCGTTGTATCTTGCTGACTTTAAATCACTGGTATGGGACATCCAGTCCGTAGCTTTGCCTCGATCCATGTCCAAGCTAGCGAGCAAAATGAACTATTTAATATTCAATTCCACTTTTGTGTGCAGCCGGGGCGAACTGCGGGGAATTAACTCGGAAATGGAACTAGCATTTAACATTTTAATCCCGCTTCCAATCTTCGCGTTCTTTTGTTGTTAATAAACTATTAGCACTCGTGGTACTGGACTGCGTTGTGAACATTTTATTTGATCATTTTAGTCTGTTTTAATGTTCATTTTTATTGTTGATTTCTAACATATGAAACGGTGTCATGTCCTACATCTATAAATATCCACTTCCCCTGTAGGCAGAGCATCAGTGAACAGACCGTAATGCCCCGACATAGATCCACTGACATGTCCCCGATACGATTCTAATTGACTGATTAATTTGTCTCATTTACGGTCGACCTTCTTTATGTATAATTAATAACCATTGATTACTATGAGGATCGAAACTAAGTGATTTATGTGAATTAGATTGAAAAAGAGGTCGAGAAAGTGACTTATTTAACGATCGTTCATATTTGACCCAACGTCAGTTTCCTTTTGGGTGATCAATAATAACAAATAAGTATGTATGTATATTCCTTCCCTTGTCAACTCCAGTAATAAAATCAAACTTAAACAAAATTTTAAAATATCATCAAATATCTCCTCGTGATAGGCCATCGGTCCTTTCTTCTATTGCTTGTTGTTTGTTCTAGTGACGGACTGTGTAATATCGGAGTGGGGCCCGTGGTCAGAGTGCGACACTGGGTGTGGGTCCGGCAGCATGCAGCGGTCACGTCGCGTGTTGCAGGCGGCGGCGCGCGGCGGCCGGCATTGCCCCGATCTGATTCAGCGCCGAGCTTGTCAAGCACACCATGCCTGCGCACCAGACAGTGATATACCACTTAGAGGTGATAGACAGACAACAGTACTCAGCTTGCTTTACTCCACTGCTCAATTACCTAACTCAATTATTTCGACAGTTTGTGTTTTTTCGTGCATCACATTCAATCATTTACCACCACAGAATATATATCTATATATGTTTAAATACTCTGTGTACAGTATCATAATTTAAATATATCTGTATGACAGAGGAGTCTGCAATGATCCTGCCGGGCTCGCTGTCTGTCAGCCGGCACTCCAACGACACCGTCGACATCCGCAAGAATCTGCGCCTGCGCAACCCAGACGACCCCGAGTCCAACTCGCACAGGGAGTGAGTTATCGTAACATAAAAATATTTATATATAATATTTCTAATGTATCAAACAGTATAACGAACAAAAACTGTGCACTTGTAGTTTTTATTTAATGTCTTTACTTAATAACTAATTGAAATATTGTTTTCAGATACTGCGTCCAGTTCGAAGTTTTGAAAGTATCGAAGGCGTGCCATCTCGACTCTGACTACAAGGCGCTACGCGAGGGTGCGTACTCAATGCAATTTGAAACCTATTATCATTTTATTAGGTCATAAAATTGATTTATTACTCAATCATATCCCGTACGATGGGTCATCTCTCATCCATGCGAGAAAAGACGATCTTTTCCCTGCCTCTATGGCGCATAACACGTTCAATATGTTTTATGTTTAATTTATTTTACCACAAGTTTAACTTATTAAATAACTTACTGGATTCTTGCAAATTTGAAAAATATTAACTTAAATAAACATCAACTAACGTTCCTTGTTATCGTATCGATAACTAAAGTTTCTGAAACGTTTTGAATTATAAAATAAAGAAATAAATGAAGAGATCTCTCGTACATTTAGTTAATGTTGATATGCAGTAGATACACATAACTGCAGTATAATTTGGTCCGAAGTGCACTCGCAGAGCGGTACAATATAATGCAACGCAGTGTTCTCGAGAGCAATTGCGACTTCGCTAATAAACGTAACTTGTTACATTTAATATGCAAATTATTATTGTTCATTTCTCTATTATGCGCTTGAATTGTGTCACATGAATTATTGCTAATGTTAATTAACTCAAACGACCAAAAACCAAAGTACAAAATATATTTTTCTTTAAGATTTTTTTTCGTTCAATTTATGATTGAATTTACAGGTTATCCTTAGAGATATAGAGATAGAGAGATCCTTATAAAAGATAAGTCATTTCCTGTTTTTATATGTTAATTGTATGTTACGTTGTCAGGTGATACAGTGTGCGTGATGTGCGAGACAGCGGCACTTCGGCGGGACCTGAAGTGGCGATGTGCGGGACACGGCGTAGCGGGCCACGCTACGAAATTCTACGCGCTTGTAGCGCCCCACTGTCACGGGAAATGGCTGCGGACCAAACAGGACTTGGATAAGAGGGGTGACTGCTGTTCTAGCCCTGACTTCATATTTGTTTAAAAAAAATAATATTTATGATAGGAAAAGTAATAAAATAAAACATTTTATTCTTAAAGCAACATCTGTTTATTGTTAAAGTTTGAAATGCAAGATACTTCAAACGTATAAGGTTATGAAACGAAAATAAATTGCACAGTTAAAGTAATAGTAGATAATGTAAGACTAAAAAGAAATCATATGTTATTTTAATTTAATTTATTTGAAAAAATAACGCGTTATGTTAAAATAAACTCCATATTAAAATAAAACTTTCTACAAAAACATAGATTTAAGTGTATAAGGTAGTTAGACTACATTCAGCTCTAATCACTGCTACATATCTATGACTCAAATGACAAGTACCCTGTACCTTCCTTCCTTCCTTTCTGTCAGCCATGAGACGCCCACTGCTGGGCATAGGCCTCCCCCAAAGATCGCCACGATGCGACGCTGTACCACTAAAAATGAAAGTATCAAAACAAGCAATTTTAAAGGAATATCTTAATAAAGTTATAAAAAGCTAATTCTGCTTAGTAATTAATTTACTGAATTACTAATGTTGAACAAAACATCACAATGGTGATCATCACCTGTTCATCAAAAAACATCCCAAAAAAGGACTTTATTAATTACAATTTTAAATGTTTTTTAAATGAATGTGTACTTTAAGTTATCGTTAGAAATAATATAATTTGTTACAATAGGAAAATATTGTACGACTTTCGAATAACATATCCAATGTAACTTGTGTAAATAAAATACTTATCAAATATCCTTATATTTACTTTCTAAGTTATGACCTTTTATACCCCTGTTTCCCCGGACCAGTTATAGACCCATCGGACCTAGGGTCTAAAACTAGTCCTACACCAAAGTATTTGTGAGTGAAGACGTAATTTTTAATTAATTTCAATACCTAATACTTGGTCTTTTCCTTGTTCATATAACGCATCAGTGTTAACGATAATACACTGTACAATCTCATGTTACAAACCAGTCTTGCATCTTTTTATGAAACCTTAGAAATATTAAGGTTTAATACCTTGTGGTTTTAGTAACTTCCGTAGAAGGTCTCCTCGCGTGTTTTATTTATAAAAACGTTGTGCATAAAATACTTAAGAATTAAATATACACAGAACAGCCTAAGATATACAGGTAGAACAAATCAACAAATCAATTTTCAATTACCATTTATACTTGAAAATATACAAAATTTTATTGAACAGTACAAAGTAATATTCTCGCAAACATCTTCACGTCAAATCAGCGGAATTAAGAAAGACACAGAAAGCGCAAGACACGATATTATGCTTCATATTAAATATCGTATTCACACGCGATGAGATTTCTCAGCAGCAATTTTATTTCGCTTCTCCGCTTCACTGTACAAGCAAATAATGAAAGCTGCAGCGCTTCAGCCGCTGAATATTAAAAATGTATCACAAACACATTCCTGTGAGCCTCAATATCAAAATATTAATATTTCTGGAAAAACAATACCAATTATATAGGAATTACCTTTTTCCGATAATAATAACTGGCCTTAGAGTTAATTTTTAACATTTCATACATATCAAAATTGTAAAATGTCAAAGTTAAATGTCAGTCAATTAATACAAGCTTCAAGTTTTTTTACTTTCTACATAATAAAAAATGGTGACAACAAAACGTTTAGCTGCTTTCGGTTCCAGCGTCAAAAGATTCGGTAAAAACACCGGACACCCTAAACTAGACCCCAACGGGCTGTACATCCCCAGGCCCGAGGGCTGCGACCCCTGCCTCTACCACCCCCAGGATATCGACAAAATATTTGATTTTAATAAGCACATCAAAAACCGCGTCGACCCTTGGAAATATAAAAGTGATCTTGAGGAATGGTCGAAAAACTTGGGCTACAGAAACCAAAAGGTCCTCGACCGTAAGAAGTGGTTCGACTCCCTGCTGGGCCCCGCCTGGCACGACGTCCAGGAAGACAAAAAGTGCGAGCCCGCCTGCCACAACGTGGGCTTCGGAAGAACTCCGCGCTTTAAACCCTCCAGTAAGTCCATCCCTGGTCCCGGTACGTACTACAAACATGTTCCCTACAGGGCGCCCCACGGACCTCACTCGAAGAAGCAGACCTTCGAAATGCAGGAGCCCTGCAGGTTCAAGGATCCCTCCTCGAAGTGGTCGCTGGCACCGAATCGTTACAACATCATCGACAAAGATAGCATAGAACAGAAACCGAAAAAGATAGTGTCTTTGAGGGGGCCCTACGACCTGTTCACGGGGAAGCGTGACGGGACGTCCATCAAGAATCACTTTAACAGGACAAAAGTGTCGGCAGCGTCGTGGCCGTACAGCATGAAGGGATGTATGGAGACGTACAAGCGGTCACATTACGGGGAAATGAACAAAACGAACAGAGAGCTGCCCTGTCGCAGCCGGAACACGTTGGTGGATCTGACGATGTGCATCCGCAAGCCGGGCGAGCCGGGACCGGGGCAGTACGATGTGGAGAAGCCACGGCAATTTGTACAAAACGCGCAAGGCTTCAACAGCAGCTATGACCGACCGCCGGGCTATCGGCGCGCGGAGGTGTGGCCCGCCGTCGGTCGGTACAACGTGAAGTGCGTCAAGTACCACGTGCCCGGCAGCGGACACCGCCACGCATTCCTCAGCAAGGTGCCGCGCACTATCGGCGCCGTCCTGCCGCAGCCTATGAATACTTTCTGATTCATTTTATATTCATATACACACCTATCACTTTTGTATTGAGATGCTATTTTACATTATACCAAGAAAATTGACGTATAAAGTAGAAATAAATATTAAATTTAAAGAGCCACAGTTTGTAGCTAACTTTGTATTATTGTAAGAAAATGATTTAGCGTAACCTTTCGAATGGAGTTCGATTACTTGCCTTGTGGACGGTGCGTCCAATTAGGAAGGAATCCTTTGAGGTAAATCGAACTGAAGAAATTCTCTTTAAGGTATAAAAAGAAAATTACTATTGCTATAACTCTCCAGGGAAATCATGGACATGATTGCGTGCGGAGGTCTACTGTATCACCAAATGCACATCACATAGCACGCCGCTAACTATTATTATATTGGATATTATAACCAAGCTCTTTGTTATATTCTTTATTTAAAGTTTACAAAACGAATAGTTTCTTGTTGTATCCAAATTAACTTAATAACTTTTTTCATTGAAATACGTTATATTTTTACTTTTAAAAATCTTTATTCCACTGTAATCTTAATACGCTTTTCCTTATTCTCTTAAAAGTTTTATGAACCAATCTCAGCCTAGGCGAATCTTAAGATAACTTTCAGAGGACTGTCCTGACCTGATATGCTTTGGTATAAACTTTATCAAGGAAATAGAGACGTCACTTGAACTAATAAGACAGTAGTAAATATGTTCCAGTCTTAGGTCAAAAGAAAACTCTATACAAGTTCAAATAATGATATTTATGACTGTTTATGAGATACTGGCAACATAGAAATGTAAGTGACAGTAATGAAAGATGGAAAAGACAGGTGAATAAAATGAGTGATATAAAAAAACGTGGTTTTATTAAAATACTAAGATGTCGGAAACGTCCAACAGAAACAATGACTATAGTCTTAAGCTACTGAGTACACGACAGCTCTCATTACCACTACGAGTCGACGTCGTCGTTTGACTTTTGTAACTTTTATATAACATTAAATTGCATTTCTTGAACATAATCAATTAACGTCGCTCCTGAAGTTAATTGTTTCATGGACAAAGGAAATAATGATCTATTTGTATTTATGTAGATTATATAACTATTTTTATTATAAACAGAAATAGTTTTACTTTGGCTTTCTGAGATCAAAATCCTTATATAGAACATATCGTCATCTTTGTTACCGGCCCTGTTATCTTTGGCACAGAAACAATATGTTTTTACAGAAGCAAAAACCCACTATTATTATAATAACGAATTATTTTTTCATATATTTAAATATTGCTTTGTTTCCCTATGTCCCCCTATTCCCTATATTTTAAATAACAATCAGCCTATATGTTTTATTTACCAATCAAAAGTAGTTACATAATGTTGTTTACAAAGTTACAAAGACCTAGTTTATCTTGTAATTGCGAGGTTTTTTATTTTTATACGTATACTAGCGGACCCGACAGACGTTGTCCTGTCTACACGTCTTTAATTTGAATATTATTTAAAATTTGACACTGCGATGGTAGCGCCGTCTGTCGGATCCAATGTAAAACATTCCAAAATCAACAACTACTAATAAATTAAAAATTAATTATAAAAAACATTGTCCAGCGGACAAAATTGTGAATCTAAACCATTCCCAGATTCCCTTGAACACACACAAAAAATTTCATCAAAATCGGTCCAGTCGTTTGAGAGAAGTTCAGTAACATACACACTCACAGAAGAATTATATATATAAAGATAAGATGTATGCATGTTGTAGGTTGAAATGTTTGTATATAGAGTAAATCCTACCACTTTATAGTGATCCGTTGTCAAATGTACCTGAGCTTAGCGGAATGCTAGATATTTATAAATTTGATGAGCTCCGCAGTTTGCGAGCACTTCTTAATATTTATTTATTCGTTACTTTTATGAGGGACCAAGAATTCAACACTCTGAATATATTTCGGAGTTTATAAATTAACTGTCGAATAAGCATCAAGTACCAAGTGCAATATATTCTCTTAGTCTCAGATTAATGTTGTTTTTTCTGTTAGCTCGTAGACTAAGAAAGTCTTAGTAATAAAATAAATCCATACGCGGCTTTATCTTGAAACATAATTAGATTTTCAAATCAATATTCACAATCACCATATTGGTATCACGTTGCTAATAAATCCCTCAGCTATCGAGGATAAAAAGAATCTCGTGTGGCTTCAAAATCAACACGAAAATGGAACAATATCGGTAAATATAACGGACTGTGAGATTTCAATCTCAGTTTGCCAATATTCGGTGGTATTTGCTTTGTCGGCGGAACATCGGACGTATGGAAATCATCTTAATGAGAATTTTCAGCACAACATAAGTGAAGATTTTTACTGCAATGAATCTTATATTAATATACATATTGATATTTTGGCAAATGTACTAGCGGCAATTTATTTCGCTTTGACTTTTTATTATAAAAAATCTTTATGTGTATTTTGTGTTCATTTTATAGTAGTTTATATTGAATAAAATATATTCTTATTTTAACGAGAACTAAAGAGAAATATGTGTTGTATTAAATTTTACAATTATACTGTATTCGTGCGTTTGAATTCCTTTTGTGGTCTCTCAATGAGAATGTTTGCTGCGAGATATTTTTCAGTAGCAGACGAGCCGGCATTTATATAAAACCACAAGAATTTTTATAAGAATTTCATGACTTTAATTTCTTAAATGTACAATGCAACGTGTAATTGTAACTTCATATATGTCACCGGCAGATTGTAAATTACCTAAGCATGATAATCTTCAAATTATGAATGAATTCTTTTTTTAACAACATTTACATATTTCATATCCATATTTTTCGACCTACTAGGTCGGAAAATTCCGCGCGGAAGGAGTCGCGGGCGACAGCTAGTTTAATATAAAAATATGCAGGCTTTTTTAGCCAACGAATTCAGAAATGGAGTTCACCTTTTCGCTAGATTTAAGTGAAAAAGTGTATTGTCAGGAGCAGTTATCCCGCTTTATTCAAACAAATGCCTTAAATCCGTCCAATTTGTGTAACAAATGTGTGTGCAGCGAACTGCCGGAATGTATGTGTGTGTATGTACCACTGGAGGAGAACATCTCTTTCATTATAACTGAGGGGTTTTTGCAATTATCTCCTAACGTGCAGTTTTACTCAAACTACTGTTATTTATTACAACGTCTTTTTCTCGTATATAAATATATTTTCTTACATTTCTTCTCAAAAATCCACAAATAACAATCACTGGGTATTTAAAATAAAGATGTAATAACGTAATAAATTTCTATTTGGTTTGTTCTAACCTAATTAATATATCTGCATCTCTTCTGACTGACATACTGGTTTCAATTAAAACACAAAAAAATATGTCAAAAATCTTTAATAACAGAAAATAATTCAAAACGTAAAATCAAAAATTAAATTAAACAAATCCTGCTTATAATTATGATTCCAATCAATTGTCGAAAACTGCATATGTTCATTTTTAAAGATTAGCTCTCGGATTAATTGATGAGATGAGTATTTTGCTGGGTATAGGTTGAGTGTGGTCATCATACAGCAGCATGACGCCCAGCTTGAGGCCGGGATCGAAACCGCAGCCGCACGTCTGCACACCGCGGTCTTCTACCTCGACATAATCATCTTCCTCTTCCTTATAATATTAATAAATAGATAAATTACATTTCAGAGTCCTGACTCAACACAAAATAATATTTCTAAATCGATCGAGCTGTTTAACTCGCAACACAAATAAACATATCCACATATCAGAAAGGTTAGTCTCATTGGTCGAGCTTATTTCTTAAAACACAACCGCCACAACAAATAATAGCTTGAAGGTAACACAATACTACATCTCTCCTCTTTTATCCTTTTTAAAGAAGTTAACTATAATATAATCAGAATAAATAGAGTTTTAACAAAAAAACATTTAGTTACCTGTGAACTTGACTGAGAATCATTGTCTTCATTTTCCTCACTATCATTGTCTAATTCGTCACAATATGAGGCATCTGACACATTGCTGGAGACACTCTCTTTCTCCGATACTTCGCTGGTCCTCACCCTCTTTGACAATTCTAAATCATTCGATGTATCCGCAGACCTTTTGCTAGACGAAGAAACTAAAAAATAATATCCAAAAAAAAGAAAAATTATTGTTCTTTCCATTCTGAACAAAACTATGTAAAACTATTGTATTCGACGATATTTATTTTAAAAAAAATTGCCTAAATAAAGCGTTAGTTTTCAGAACTCAAAGAAAACTTCCGCAATGAAGGAAAGGTTGTATGAAATTTCCTACTTAACTCTACCTGATGACAGGCTACTTCTTTCTATTTCTGAATCTTCATGTTCGTCGGATTCTTCTTCAGAATCCCCGCAGTCAGAATCAATTTGATAATTTTTTAACATTATTTTTTGCGTCAACTCGAATGTATCTGAAATAAATTTAATAACATTATCTAGTCCAGTGTCATGCAGACAAAATAAAATTAAAACGTGAGTTATCTCCTTGAATTATCTAATCAAACATTCTGGAGATATTGTCTAGAGAATTTTGGTGTCTAAGCTCCTCCAGCAGATTTCGTTTCCACTGTAGCCGCTGCGACTAGTACACCAATTGACAACTTGAAGAGACTAATCAAAGACTACTTTATCATCTTTATCAATATAACTACAACAAAAGTTATAGTATTGTAAAGTATTAGACCTTGCAAAGTGTGTTTAGCTTTGTGCAGTAGCAACAGCGCGGCGCCGTGCAGCAGCGCCGCAGCGGGACCCAGCGGCAACTTGCCGGACCCCTCGCGCCCGCCGCCCGCACCCGCCGGCCATCCGAGCCGCAATAAGCTAGACCCTTCGCGCCCGGTGCCACCCGCCAGGCACCTCCTCACTTCCTCGCTGCAAATATAGCAGTTTACAAGTTATAGTTCACTGACGACACACTAGTACGAGAATGTAGTAATGCCGTCCATATCTTTCTCTAAAAAAAACAAAATCGCAATATATTTACGTACTTGTATTTATCACAATGGTTTTATTCAAAATAATTGATAAATTGATGCAACAGCAAAAACTTTTTACGTAATTCTATCATATTCAAGTCTATTATAATTTACTATAAACATTGTAACATTGTAAAACTTAAACGATCTCACCATATGTTTGGTATATCCACGTTCTCGAAGTCATTTTCAGATATTTGACAACGATGCGCTGCCCACCACGATGTAGCAAAGTTTGAAGATAAAATTATATCCATTTTATAAAACAAATACATCAAACAATTAAAAATATTTAACTGAAATATTATCACCGACTGACTATACTATAGTATTTTTCTTAATACCTTAATGTTTTAAATAGCAATCAATACACTATCTTTACGTCACAAAAATTATATTTAAAAAACAAAACAAATGTATCTGATTAACAATTATTGTTATTTCATTTTTTACCTATTTGTTTGATTAATTTATGGCATAATTAGTAACCCTAATAAATGTTTAAATTAAACAAGTGCCTTCATATCATCATGAATTTATATTTGTTAACTGCAAATTATCTTATATTTAAGTGATATCTAAGTTAATGTAATTTTATCTACTTTATTATTCATATTTTACATAATTAATATTTTGTAACATTAACAAATACTTGCCAATTATTAAAGTAAGTACATTAAGTTAAGCGCCATCTACCGACGGCATATTATGATTTGAGCAAATAACTAACTTATGTAGCTTTTTAATAAAATTGGAATTACAGCATTTTAAAAAAAGCGATATAATTGTTTGAAAATTAATTATTTTATTTGTATTAATTTCAAATTTTTGAAAAATTCCAATATTTCTGGCTTTATTTTAACGCCATCTATCGTTTTAACTTGTATCAAAAAGTGGTGCTACAATCATTGCGCAGTTATATAATTTGTACTCCATTACTTTTAATAGACTAAATTCACAATAAATATATTTTCAAATACGAGTCCTCACATCATAATAGAAAATAATAATTATATTGTATTACACTAACAGTATACACTAACAAGTTCAATAAAAGAATTAATTTAAATAAAAATTTAATCTGTAGTTAAAAGATTTCTCTTGTTACTAATCGGTATGTTTCACAAACTTCTAATGATGCTCAGTGGATCAGTGACCTATCTGCTCATTAAAACTTCTGCAAAACGACTTGCCAACACTTTGTTATCGACTACTATGTAAATTTAACGCCAGCTTTTAAAAAACGAACACAAAAGCTTTTGTTTTCTACCTTCTTTGCAGAGGAGTGATCACACAGAGCTTCTCTTCCTTTTTAGCTACGGTCACTGGCTGGAATAATTCACCTTTGTCTTTGCCTTCACTTGCCTTAAGACAAGAATAAAAAGAGGCCCTATTATATGGCCTATTTAATAGCTAGTGCCCTTTATGCTTACATCATGTGATACGATTTATTTAAATGTCATCATCCCGAAGAAACTTAAACAGATAATTTTCAAATAAAAATCAAATAAGTAGAATTTGCAATAATCTCGAAGGAATTGACGGTCGAATTCCCATTCGTATATGTAGCACCAATAATTCATTTCCTAGTAAAAGAATAACAAATGTTTCGGAACAACAACCAAACGACGTCCATTTTATTATAATCACAATAAAATTTATTATATTTATTTCAATCTGAGTTTGATCGCTTATAAGAAAAAGGAAAAGGTTCCCGCGTAGCAGCGAGGTGCGGCGGCCGCTGGATGTTGTGTTGAAATTTCTCACAAAACATTTGTTGCGGTAAAATAAAAGCTTTAATAAATCTTTGTTGTTTGAACAGAATGACTTGTTGTTTAACGTTATTCGTAGTAATATAAAAATTCCTTGTTTTAACATATATTTGATTGATGATTGATTATTGAAAGTTGCGAAGTAATCATTTTTAGGCCTTTTAGATGAAAAAAGATTAATTTAATAAGGTAAAGAAAATGACTCATTAAATGACCGCTTAGTGAACATGTAATGAAATACGAGATAAGTATCAATACGTATTAATACAACGTAATCAGTATTTTTACAAAAGATAACACACCTGCGTGATAATGTTGAAAATGTTCGAATAAGTTACAGTGGCAGAGTATCCCGTTAGGATCAGAACGTGTCGTTTTTTATTTAGAATGCTCCGAATTGTCGTATTCTTGTGCGTCGCAGCCGCCGCAGTGACTGCGCAGACCACTTCTGTCACACAATGTAAGTGTATTCTGTTGACATTCTTGTTGATATATTTTCATGCTGAAGACCAATTGAATACAGACTTTTCTTCAAGACAACTGACGCATACTCCTCTCGTATGTGGATATCATGAATGATGATCTCCGAATAAAAAACAACACGCTACTCAGTTGAGAGACAAAGTTGCTCCGTGAACGTCTTTTCTTTACCCCAGCATTGCCTCTACTAGTAGTACTTTTGTGTGCAGGTTCCCGCAACCCCGGCGAGTTGCCATTGAACGCGCACGTGGAGGGCTGCCTGACGCCGCCCTGCCTGCTGCCGCAGTTACAGGACGCCGTCATCAACGTCGTCTTCCACACCCGTCAGTATACACACTCACACATATAGAGCACCTCCTCTACTAGCTATATTATCTTCCAATTGACTTCGCATGTGGTCAGTAACATAATAGCCTGACCGCAGAGTTCCGCAAAAAGCACTGAAGAAATAACATTTTCTGATTTTTGTATCGATACTTGTAAGTGGTATCAGTGGGAGGGACAAAGAGGATTATACATAATTAATTGATAATTTATTAATAAACACTGTTATAACTGCTGCCAAATAGTTCTAATAAAATAGAACATGTTGTGACCGCTACGTGTCGCTTGCAGCGCGTGTGCTGCGCTCGATGACTACGAGGGCGACGGCGCTGCTGCAGCTGGGCGCCATCACTTTGCCGGTGGAGTACAATCTGGCGGAGAACGCGGACACGTGCCGCTTCCTCACCAACACCTACTGCCCTCTGTTGGCCGGCGAGGTAGTTTCCTACACCCTGCGCATGTTCATCGAGCCCTTCTTCCCGGTCGTAAGTCGTTACCTATTTTTTTTATTAAACGAAAGCATATCCCCGATGAAAATAATCTAAACATAAAATATGTATGTGTGACCTGATATCATTTATCTTTTTTGCCCTTCTGCTTGGAATGTTATGATACTTATGATAAAATAATCGTAATTTTTCATCGTTATGTTAAGGGCACGTCGTTGAACATCGAGTTCCGCGTGGTGGACGATTCGGAGGAGCCGGTGTGGTGTATCCGCATGCCCATTCAGATCGTGGCGCCCCTCGCCGCCCGCAGCGCACCTGCCATTTCACCAACACCATCTAACTCCACACTCTCCATACATACATAATAACTAAATAACAATAGTATAATGTACTATAATACTAGTAACATATCACAAATAAGATTTTATAATGAAAACCTTTGTTTTATTATTGCAAGGGAAACTATATGGCCTGAGACTAAATGGCGCGCTCAAGATTGTTGAAAAGTGTTTTCGTAAATAATAGCACCATGGGCCAATAAGTTAAAATGTAATGCTTGTTATTTTTATGTCAGTTTAAAAGTTAGTAGAAAATGTAGTCATGTTGATAACTGTATTTACTAATTAAATTAAGAGATTTATATTTACTGTTAACACTGTTGGTGAAACTTATAACTAAAATTTTTGTAAAAACTATATTTTAAAACATAAATTAAAAGATTGAACTTGCTCTTTACGCCATCTATTGGTGAAACTTTTAATTTGTTGACTCATAAAAAACATTCGCTAATTTTGATAATAGATGGCAGTAGTGGTACAAAACCAAACATTTTAAATTAAAATCTTTTAGGGAGTGAAGTAAAAAAGAATAATAATAACGCCTCCAAAAGCAAACAATGAAACTATGTTATACTTGCATTTACCACAACCACCAAGAAGAAGAAGAAGGTAGCCGTGCGAGTAATTTTTCATGTCAATTTTCAAAGTAAATTTTCATGTTGTCTCACGACGACCAACTTATGACCATAGATGGCAGTAGTGGTATTAAACCATTTCATAAAAAAACTATTTAGTTAATATGACCCGTCCAGTAATGTGAAAAACTTTTGCTTTTTTTTGTGACTGAGTAGTCACTGTTTGCAGGCATTTACAGCTTCACCGGGCTTGAGGTGGCAGAGCGCAGATGGCGCTTAGCCTGAACCTCGAAAAACTTTTGCATTTTGCAAATCAATTTAAGAAACAATTTTTTTGTTATGGTAACACAAATATATTTAATAAATCGTTGCCATGGCTTCGACATTGTTGTTGTGAGTTTATTTTCATGATCGTGGTGTAATTTGTGAGATCGTAATAAAACATATTTTGAATGTTGTGTTTATAGCTGGGATTCTCCTCAACATTATCCAAAAATATATATGTAACGTAGTGTAGCGATATCAAAGATTTCCTTATAATTTTAAAACCTAAAATGCCTATTAAGAAAAACAGATGGCGCTGAATATCCTCAGTACCTCTGATCATAAATACGATAGGCATGACGTCATATTGCAATGCTAGGACAATACACATTCAACATTTAATTTAAAATTATTTTCTTATATAACTTAATATTTACTGTTGCAAGGTATAGTGTAAAACTTAATGTAATTAATATAAAGTAGTTTATCGTAATATTTAATTTTTTACCATACTAGAGAACAACAATAAAATTAATATTTTCCAAATATCTTGGCACTTCCACGCGCCCGAATTCAGCGCAGTGCTCTCTCTCCGCACCGTTTGCGCCTGTCACTTATTCTTATTTATGCAATGCAAGCAATAGTAGGTTTGTTGTAAGTTGTGTATGTTCGGTATTGTAATGGAAACATTTAAATGTTTTAAAATATATATGATTGCGTTAACTTTGCAAGTGTTACTGAACAATGACGAATTTTTGAATACATAAGTATAGTATTATCTTTGGGTAAAACTTAACACTATTTCAGAACACATGTAAACACTTAAAGTGGGTATACAATAATTTTATGACGTCACTTCAAGTGAATATAGACCAAAAAATATTAGAATGATGTTGAGTGAAGTTGAAGGAAGACAAATATGTACACATCGATTAGCAACACGTTGCCGCTCCTCAATGTGCAGAGCGATGTTGCCAGTCCGCTTCGTCCATACTGCTTTAGAAAGGGACAGAAGCATCTGTCTTTCTCGTCAACTATCTATATCTCAATCTATAGTTTATCAAGTTTTACGCGAAGAAATTATTAACTTAATTATGAATAACTTGTGTACATTTTTATAAAATCAATCGGGGATTCTATTATTTAAAATCAAGTCAAATTTGTAAAATGATAAAGATGGTATCGAATGATAGGAATAAGGCTCAAAATCTGAACTGTCTATGACTGATGTATACGAGGAAAATGAAACAAGAAATGTGTTGAACGTCTATTTACCTACTTGTTAAAACAAGTATTACTTAATTTGACCTTGTTGATTTGTTCTATTTATTTGCTGCGCACATTATATTCTGACCATTTGCTATAACAGTTGGAAGTTAAAGATATCTTCATTTTTCTATAGTTGTGATTAGGTGGAAATACCTACTTTATTTCGAAAATTGTTGGAAAAATAGGTATAGTCGTAACCAATCTATTAAATTAAAAAAAACTGATTTGTCTTTCAAATGTCCGTCTTATTAATATATTTTTCATAAAAGTATTATATACTTAGTTCATTATAGACATTTCGATTTTTAATTCAGTAATAAATATTTATCTTTTCAAATATTAGCCTGATTTGGAGTTAACACCGTATTGTGAATTCACTGTGTCCAATGTCCATTTCCAGCTTTATAATGATGTGCGATCTAAACTTTGTTTATATTATCAGTCTGTCCCACCTTCGGGAAGTGCGTAACTAGGGGAAAAATCGAAACGCAAAACGAAAGGCAACTGATTTTAGAGCAAAACCCGACCTATTTCATATAAAATAAGATCTATTATAACAAAAACAAACAATTGCGAGACCCGATTATCCTCTCATTGTATGTTCGTCAACAATAGCATCGTCCTACCCGGCTTAATTTGGCACGTCGGGCTGAACAGTACGCTAGTTCTCGACGTGCCAAGTCAAAACGTTGATAAGGGGTCTGATTAAAGTTTCAAGTGAATGTTAAACAATATATGCAGTAAGAAACTAAATTATTTTTCATTATGTTCTAAACTGTAACATTTATGTTTTCGCGCCGATGCACTATCTCAAGATCAAGATATAATAATCATCTTTCAATAAGTGTTTTTTTACATTCACAAACCTTTAGGGAAAATTAGAGGATAGCTACTTTACACACTTCGTCAAGTAACCGAAGAGTCTAAAAACTATAAGCGGCAGTGCTGCTGCCGTATGCCAAGTCCCGCGAAATTGCACCTTGACCTGGACTTTTAAAGGAACGCCTGTCGAGATAAAACGGGAGATACCGGAGTATGAATTACTTATTAGGTCTACTCTAGAACATAGCAAAACAATTCAAAATGTTTTTCTAAAAAGCGAAACAGCAAATAGTCAACACATTTGTCCTTTTCTCATCCCCTAACCCTAACTTCCACCTTACTATGTATCTCTACTGTACTTCTAAAATAACGAACAAACGGACGCTTCTGTACTTAGCTAACCATTTACACTTCTATATAGTTTAAATCGCGCTTGATAATGTTATTTTACAAACTGCGTTTTAACTAATATATTTCCACAAAAATATGTTAGCGAAATTCAAGTTTCCAACATTGATATTTGTCAAAACACTAAATTTATATGCGAAACAATATTTTATTACTTTTACGTAATTACCCGGATTTAAAAGCAATGTGAGAAAATCACTAAGAAGATATAACATTTTATTACATAATGTTCTTATAAAATCCGTGTTTTCTAAAATCGCACTCCTTTGACACTGACATCAGTAAAACTGGATTATGAAACATTCATTAAAATTTTCTTACAAACTCTATAGATAATACTTTTACAAACACAACGTTGAAATAAATGTCCATATTTTTTTTCTATCACTATCACAGATCACTTTCTATCGCTGAATGTAAAATATCTATAACATACGCTTCAACAAAATTACGATAACATCCAGAGAAAACTTGGCGCATTTTCATATTATACATTGAATACGACCTCTTTTAACTTTTTATATCTGTCCAGAAATAACGGAGAAGAAAATTCCAGCAAAACAACATTTAAATCCGTACAGAAGACTTTTGCGTATTGAAGTAAAATAAATACCTATGATTAAATTTTCAAAATAATTAAAGTCGAAAATTTAGAGAACACAGTCCTCGCGTTACGCGTACAACCACCGACGTGGCTGCTCGTCGAATGAATTTGAATTCGAAGCGCTCCGCTGCCGGCGGTGGGGCGTTGCTTGACCGGATTGCTCGGTATCCATTTTGAACACATCGCACAGTCTCGTTCTTCGTACCTCCTAGAGAGTCGACACGACAGCCGAGAATTATCGTACAGGAATAATGGACGCTGCACAAACCAAACAAAAAAAATTGTACATAGTTATTCATCGCGCAATCGTCGACTGTGACTAGAATTTCTGTTAAACATTTCTTTTATTGATTTAAACTAAAAGGTTAGTGCAATTTGAAATGTTATGTTCGATTTTTATCGGATTATTATTCCTTTTACGTCAGCCATTAGCAAACATGGCGTCTTTATTACATATTGAGATTTACAATACAAAAATGTCTGGCGTCACGAGTGAATAAAGTGAACATCTTTGTTTGAATCAATGTTACATTAATTCAGAATATGTGCAATCGTTTTCTTAAAAATGGTAGCAGTAGTATACGGGCCTGTGAAATAATTCATTACATCATTCGTTCTCTTTTACTACGCTTATTTTTTATTAATATCGGATATCAGTGTGGAAAAGGAGATTAACATTCTCTTCTTCAATTTGCTAGCTATACTCAAGCGGAAGGGCAAGAATTATTGCCGACTTGACTAAAATGTTTCGAATGCCAAGGTATGTGAATTTGTATAACATAGTAGTTCTATTTCACCCTAGTAATACACGATATGATAAAGGACGGTTCGATGACTTTTTTTATAAAAATGTTAACATATTAAAAACTCGTGCCTTAAAATGTTGGTAAATTTGCTTCGATCCTTGGATTTTATTTGCTTATTACCTAGCCAGAGTATTTTAAAAGGGACGGTAGGTAATGGGAGGGCGCCCGCAACTCACGGCCGCGACGCCATTTTATTTAGGCGTTCACTTCCATCGGAACGGCGCGAGACAAAGCAGGCGCAACTCAAAAGCAGCACGTGGCACCCGGGCCAAAGCCTGGACCGATTGATTTCTTTATTCTGCTTAGTGGTGTATTGTGATAGATATAAACCAAAAAGTGAAGTGAAGAATTAATTTTGTGCAGCTAATAATTAGGTATTATCAAATTTAAGTTTTGTAATTATTTGCATTACGCATGCCTAAAAACTGTCAATATGGCGGTATGGGCGCATGTTTCTTATTTAATATTAGCTCTCGTTGTTCTGTAGTAAAATCTTTATGAACATTACTTGTACCTGTTATCATTGTCTACTTTCACGACTATTCGTGAAAGTAAATCGTTAAAACTTACGATTTTTAATAATATAACGAAGAGTTGTAATAAATATTATAAACACGTTATATTGTTCGACTTCATCAGAATTTTACTTAAAATCCAGCTATTCAAAATGCCATGTGTCGACTTAGTAAACTCTACTTTGTTTTTGTAATTGGAAACAGATTGATGTAAACAAAACTTAGACTTGTTGACAGAAGAATTTTTTAATTCTTGTTTCCCTTTCCTGTGTGTTACCTAAAGTTTTTCTCTTACTGTTTTGTTCCTATAAATTCAATATTTAATTGCTTTGAAATAACTTACCGTTGATTTTAGTATTTAAGAAATATCGCGCGCTGTAGAATATACATAAGTATTAAAACTCATTGTAATTTAACATAATTAGGTACAGATAGGACATACCACTTACCACACCCGAACTGTGTGATCCACTATCTCGTACTTCAATTCCTTCTAACATTAATTTGTTTATCAATCCTACTTATTAGCGTCAGCGTTATGCATTTATCGGGTCCTTAATCTATAGTAAACAAATACACAAATTATAAAATATTGCTGCATGAAGAAAAATGGCGGCGTACCATCAACAGGCCTCTGCTCTTCGGGGTTTTAGATTAACGATATTTAGCATAATGTCTTTAACCTTTATTTTGGCAAGATTCCTTTTTTGAGGAAAAGCTAAAAAACGTCTAGAAATGTCATGTGTTTAATAAAACTAAATTAAAAATAATTTTATAGTGATCGTATATTTTTATATAGTTGTATGTATGGTATACTATACAAAATGAACATAAAGGTTAAATGACAATTTTAATATAAAGCGATTAAAATTTGTGTGTTCTTTGTGAATGTGACATGAGATATTCGCGTATTATGCGTAGACTGATGTTTATCTTTCACAAGCTCAAAGTCAAAAGAGCGGTTTATATGGTTGCTGTTGCTTGTTGGTCCCGTTTGATAAAGAAAAAGACCAAAGGTAAGGTTTAGAACGAGGAAATTTTCGTCTACCAACATGGGATCAAATCTAAACCGAGCTTTTACGTTCGCTGCCATCTTTGTGAGTGACTGGAGATCGCCACTATCACAGTATTAAAAGTGCAGTGCAATGCAGAATAAGAAAATAAGTATGAGTATACTTAGTATACTATTTTATAATTAGTAATAAAAATAATATAAGCTTTTATTCAGACAATAAAAATACGAACACAATTCAAAACTTATTATTAATTATTATACATTTTTTTCCGTGTGCCAATTTGACAATGGTCTCCTCCATTTTGGACCACATCCTTCTGTCACTCGCTGTTCGTGATCATGCCCTCCCCGCTTCCGCTTTTATCTCGTCGGGCCATCGAGTCCAATTTCTGCCTCTTTTGTGGTGTTGTGTTTAGTATACCAACCAGTGCGTTACTGATTTATACCATTTTTCCTTTCCCCTAATTGTGTGACCCGCACATATCCATTTCAGCTTTTTAACTTCGACTGTTTTAAGAATTTTATGTTATATATAGTGGTAAATGATCCGAGGCCTAAGGTCATCCTAAATGTAATATAAAGCATCTTTGAATTTGATTGTTCGATTCCGATGTTCCAGGCACATGTTTTTCGCTCCGTATGCAATTTTGCTAACATGAAGCATTTGTAAACAAGTGTATTATGTATAAGTTTCCTAAATTATAATTATGATTTGTATATTTATAAGTATTTGTTTTATTTCCCAATCTTTATTTTATTTAATACGTTTGATAAGTTTTCGGTTTAAAACAAAAATGTGTGGCTTTTGTAACTCTTAGAATATACGTTGTATAATTACTTGTTAAAAAGTTTGCTTCAAACCTTTGAACAGATTTTAATATGTTCAGATATATTAATACTCGCCCCATTCATGCATTGTACAACACACATAATTGTTAAAATACAAGTTTTGCATTTTCAATGTAACTAATGATATATTCAACGACAGCTGCATATATTCAATATTGTTATAAAATGTTTAAAAAATAAGCATCCGCACGTGCGAAGCCGGGAGCGATTGCTTGTCATTTTAAAATGTGATGAACATACTGCTATAGCTGAATGTCACCTATATTTATACAACTTTCTTATATATCTGTTATTGAATTAGTAGTCATTTTGAAAGTTATAATATGGAAGTACTATATTATTTTTTACTAAACGTTATAATCAATTCATTTCGTTCTTCCTTTTTTTTTAATAAATTTGTCGTATGGAAAAATAGCGAAGTGACGGGGGGACTGCGCTATTGAGATGTTGAGAAAGAAAAAGAAACGCTTAACTTTTTTTTAACTTAATTGTGCGAGACAAAGCCAAATATCTGTAATAAATAAAAAAAGTAATTAAATACCTAAGTTAGAGAATTTATTTGTTAGACTCATATTATTACAAAATCGATTCTCGATAGTTCATAGTTGATCACAATGCGCGTACGGTCCGACACTATGACAACCTTCCATTGAGTACAACATTATTCCTCATACAAAATAATTCGATACTAAACATGCGTCAGTTGTCAAACTAATCTAATTTAAATAGACACACTATAGTCGCCAGGTTTCACATGAAATAGATACGTATTTACACCGGTATCTGCGTACGAGTGTTTTATTTATTTGTCTTAATAAAATAAGTCTTCATAAAACAATTACAAAGTTCACACGAACATTTTTAATTTAATCAGACGCACTTACTTCAATGTTTTATTTATAATAATTGTATGTTCAACCACTCCCATCTTATTCTTTGGTCTATTTCCAGAATAAAAAATGGAGTCGGATTACGATCGCAAGTTCGAGGAGATGAAGAAATACATTCCGTTCCTGGAGAACATGATCAATAGGTTGGAGAGCGCGGGGTCCGGCAGCAGCAATCCGCGCCTGGCGCAGCTCGCCAAGATACGCTCCCTCCGGGATCTTTTGTTGGACAAAAGAAAAAGGTTCATCACTTTTTTGCTAACTAGCCATCGCCCGGGACTCTGTCCGCGCGAAATTAAAAAATAATTAGTAGCCTATGAGTTCTTCCAGACTATGTTTTTTATACATGCCAAATTTTCTTCGTGATCGGTTCGGCGGTTTTGGAAATACCTTATAACAAACATAATAATGTTGTAATATAAAATATTATAGAAGTTTTTGTTTAGTTTATTTATAATAACATTTGTATCAACATGTAAGTACAACGTTACTTTGAACAGCAGCAACATTTAAGTACAGCGTTATACAAATGGGCCGAGGCTTGCAGAGTGAAAGCGAACACCAACGTCTGGACAGGACGTTTGCGCGCTAAGGATGTGCAAAAAGGCACATGTGTATAGGAAATGCTATATACCAACATATATAGCATTTCCTATGTGTCTCCATAAAGTAAAGAGATTGCACGTTATTGACTAATAGCTATTTTTATTTGTTTTAGAATGAAAATGGAGAATTTAATGAAATGTGAACAAGTTTTGGTAAATTTGTACGCAAAAATTGAACAGGTTAGAAACTTTTAATATTGGTTAATACATATAATTGTTAATTTTATCGTAATTTTAAACAATTTTATTACATACAAATTTCTTTTGTTTTTAGAGAGACTCATTTTTGGAGAGCAGTGATATAGGGAGTCATAATCCTCAGTTGGAGTTGGTGCGAAATAAACTTAAAAAAGTGACCGCACGACTGCAAGACTCGGAGACGCTGCCTGAGATAGTAGGTCCTACCCGGAGTGAAGAGGTCACGCCCGGTAGTAAAGAACCAGCTTTGTTTCAAATAAGACAAAACAATGTACTTTCTCCGACGCGCTCTCCACTATCAGTAGATAGTCAGAATACTTCTTTACTATTGCACAAAAGAAATTATACTCGGGTTCTGATCTCTCCTGATCCAGAAACTAAACCTAATCCTATAGACACATCAAGAATAAGATCTCCCATTCGGAGTCCTAAAAAGTCACCAAGAAAGACTACTTTATTTCAAAATAAAAGAGACCAAATGTCTTCGAGTCAATCTGAGGAAACATCTCAGCTAAAAGACTTAAACATAACACTTAAAGTTCCCGAAGAAAGTCTAAATTCTTTAAATACAAAAGATATACTATCTCGTATAATAAACTGCAGCGACAACGATGTTGACATTGATACATTGAGAGGATTGAGAAGTCAGATTCTCTCTGAATTAAAACAAACCGGTGCCAAAGAAGATATCTCTGATTTAATACTCGAATCTTATAAGCGCAAAAAGAAGTCGGGGTCAAAGAAAAAGAAGAAGGTATTCGAAGAAGGCGAATTATCAGACAGCGAGAGTGAAATTATTGAAAGCATATATGGCAGCTTGGTGGTTGTGGATAAAGAACAAGATGAAATAAGTAAACTGACAAAAGTAGAAGAAAAAGATGATCTGCCTCGAAAAATTCAAATATGTCTTGTAATCAATTCGGAGAAGGATAGTCAAGATGAAACAAATACTACAAATGATTTGTCTAAAAAAGATACGATAATAGATTTATCTGATTTTGAATCCTACCAAATCAATGACACAAACGTGAAAATAGTCGAAGCTGATATTGAAAAAAAGGAAAAAAATATACAGCATAAACACAAGTCTGATAATATATCTAGGATACCTGAGAAAAATGAAAAAGATGGTGTATCTAACAAAAAGGGAGATAAAGCTTCAGATAAAACTAACGACAGCAATGATTCAAATGAAAATTTTAAAAATACTAAATACATATCAGATAAATTATCCGAGGCTTTAACTACAAATTCCAAAGCAAATTGCACCAAGGCTAGCTTAAATTGTTCAAAAGACAATTCTTCTAAAATCAAACAACCAATACCGAACAAATCATCTACAATCGTCTTAAATGAGACAACCAAAGAAACTACACCTAAAGATTCCATAGAAATACCATTACTACATTTAGAAGCCAATGCGAATAAAGAAGTTCAAGAAATTGATATCTTGCAGGCTTTAAAGAAAGAAATATTAAGTGAAAAAATTTCTTTATCTGATTCCGAGACCAATACCCCGCCATTACATCAACCTAAAGTTACGAAAGTGGCTAATATGAAAAAAGTTTTACCAAAGAAAAGAATTTCTATTGAGAAATATAAAGAGAAATCAACCTCTTCACCACAATCCACACAATTTACAACTGAAAGTTATAATAATACGACAAAGGATGAACTTTTAAAGAAACAAAGTTTAAAGTTAACGGAGAAGGAATACGAAAGATTTAATTTATCTACAAATATGTTACTTGCAGAAACTTCTGACGAGGAAGAGAAAGCAAAACGTAGCCCATCTACTGAAGATATATACAGTGGTTTAGCTCCTAAGTCACCCGATCATGAAGATTTTGCTGACACAGGAATTAAACCACCAATTATAATTCCTGCGGAGCCAGTAAAAGCAGAGGTTGCGCCTTCAATAAGCGACGTGGATATGCGAACGATGCCGCTAAAGCCCCAGGCAAAGTTAATGACAAACAATATTCTCATCGAAAAGCCTTTAGAAGGATCAAAAAAAGAAACGGAACAAAGTACGTTAGAAAAAGCATCACCATTGGCAGATCCTCGAGTAAGAAGAGATTTTGGTAACCTATATGTTGAGAGTGCTAATATAAGTACAACAGATAATTTTTCTAGAACTCAGACTAACTTTTCACCTAATATGACACCCACCCGTATGCCAAAAACCACAATCACTAGAATGAGCGGTGTAACCCAAACGAATGTTATTCCAAACATGGTAAATAGTATGACTTCAACCACTCTGGGCTATGAAATGACTCCTTCAAGGCAATCTTTCGAAAGCGACAACTCAAAAAAAGATCATGTATATGCTCCCATATTTCCTGTTTTTGAACCGAATAATATCTCAGTTATTGATGGACAAAATGCTGGCAGTTTTTCGCGACTTCGCGATGATTCATATAGTAATTCAAGTCACAACAGTGATATTCAAAGTTCGTTTTACGTGGAAAAGTCATTTGTTCCTTCAGAATGTCCACCAACTCCAAACCATTCATTTGGACGGCTAGACATTCCAATGACTCCAATCCATGCATTTGGCAGGACAGAAGGACCAATGACGCCCGCTCATCCTTTTGGAAGATCAGATTGTTCGCCTACTCCAAGCTACCTTTTTCCGAGAGCTGATGGTCCATCTACTCCAAGTCATCCTTTTGGAAGAACAGATTGTCCGTCTACACCAAGTCATCCTTTTGGAAGAACAGATTGTCCGTCTACACCAAGTCATCCTTTTGGAAGAACTGATTGTCCATCTACACCAAGTCATCCTTTTGGAAGAACAGATTGTCCGTCTACACCAAATCATCCTTTTGGAAGAACGGATTGTCCGTCTACACCAAGTCATGCTTTTGGAAGAACGGATTGTCCGTCTACACCAAATCATCCTTTTGGACGATCAGATTGTCCGCCTACTCCAAATCATCCCTTTGGAAGATCAGATTGTCTACCTATTCCAAGTCACTCTTTTGGAAGAACAGATTGTTCACCAGCGCCAAGTCGTCCTTTTGGGAGAAAAGAACTTATAGCACCAACTCACCCACTCGGTAGAGGCGATTTCTCACAAAATCAGAAAATATTACAAAATACAGGTGCCAGATATAATAAATTTCAGAATATTAGAAATAATAGATATTCAGAGTGCGATAATCTGCCATATTGTAATGATGATATGGATGGTGGCAATTTTAATACGCGTAATTATAAATATGAAGAATCAAAACGAAATTATACAGATTCTTATCGAAACTACGACAGACACGTTAGTCGACGTGAAGCTAGTGTAGGTCGATCAACTTATAAAAACTATAAATATGATCAACGTTATTCAAATGATCGTAATACTGGCTACGGCGCCAGAGATAATCGTTACGAAACAGATAGTGGTAGATTTTACAATGATAGCTGTACACGGCGTAATAACAGAAGGGAACATAGTGTCGGTCGTAACTTATCAGATGATAAATACACAAAAAGTGACAAAGAAAAAGTTTACACAACTAGTAACACCTTATCGGTTCAATCAAACGCAGGCCGTTCATTTACTATTGACACAAGTGTTAACAGTACTTTTCAAGAAACTGTTTCTGAATTTAAAAATATAGACAAAATTTATACTGATTTTGATGCCAGAAGAAGACGGGCATCAAGTGTTGGAAGGCATTTAGGTCGAGAGCCAAGTGCTGAAAGGAAATCATTGAACAATGAAAAGAAAACATATTCACCAGACTTGAAGACGAATTTTAGACGTGCACGCAGTGTCGGAAGAGAACATGGAGAATGTCATTCAAAAAAGAAGTTTGAGGATATCAAAGTAGAATTGCAGTCATATAAACATGCAGATATTAAAAACAATAAAAGTAGCCACTCTTTTAATCAAGGTTTCGTCGCTGACATAAGAAAAAAGTTAAATGATCGCGATCCTCGGTTATCAAGACGTGACCGTCAAAACTTAGAAACTTATGTAAAGGAAGATCAATCAACAAAAGTGTCTATCTCTCGTGGAGATAATAGAGACCCAAGGCTTCAGCGCGGACTAAATAAAGACACTCAAAACAAACTTCACGAAGGAAAATCTATTGACGACAGCAAAAAACAAGGTATAGTTTATTCTAATGACAATATTGTCAAGGGAACAATATTGGGGTCTGGTTATGGTGTAAAAAATTATAAAATTCCGAAGATTAAAAGGGCTCAAGAGGAAACATGTTCTAAAGATACAGTTGATGATGTTAAAGTTGAGATTGACAAAACTGATAGATGTGGAATAAAGAAACATAATGAACAGGATCGAACAAATTCGAAAAAACTTGCAAAAGACAAAGATAGATGTGATGGGGATCCGATGTCTTTACAGTATGAAAAAGAATTGGCACAATCAAAGAAGAACGATGATATTTATGATAACGATAAAAATGAAAGTGTAGTTGAAAATGTTACTAGCTATGTCGAAAAGCGAGTCACAAGATCTGCTACAAAGAGTAGTGGTAATGATAAAATAAATGAACTTCATTCAGACAAAAAACCAGTTCCAAGAAAAAAACGTAGTAGGATAAAAAAACCATTACAATTCGATTCCGATTCTGATGATGACCCTGCTCTCATAATCGATTCCCAAACATCCAAAGAAGAATGTATTTTCCAAACATCGATCGAAAACGAAAGGGCCACGTTAAAAGACAAAATAACATGTAGCGATCGGGATAGTATAAAAACTACGGAAAATTCGAGAAATTCTACGGATTCTGCGTCCGACGGGAAAATCGATGAACCCGAAGGTACAAAACTTTCCGAAAATCTGATTTCCGCTGAGGAATTGTCAGAATATATGCCCGACTCTGATAATTGTTTTGGAATGGACCTTGAAATGTTCCCTGACAGCTTAGCTACTGATCCTGTTATTGAAAACATAAACGAACTTATAGCTGATCTTGATGATGATTTAGAAACGTCTAAAAATGATGGCAATAAACGACAGTTCACCAAGGAAATAATCCTCGAAAATATGCTAGAAAATATCACTTGCTCTGAAAAAAAGGCTGGTGAAAACACAGATTATGAAAACGAAAAAATGACTGAAGTAAACGAACCTAGTATAGTAATAAATGAAGATAGTATACCTATTATTGAAACTAAGAATAAACAAGAAGAAGTAGATAGTAATACCGGTGAAGTTTCAACAACAGAAGCTGAAATAAAATGTACATTACCACAAAAAAAGCTTTCTAAATGTTATGACGATGATGATATGTGTTCTACACCCGATAGCACAATTAACGTTAACGAAAATGTTAATGAAACTGCGTATCAGGAAAAGTTACCTGATAGTACTGGCGAAATACCTTGTGAAATGAGTTCAGATATAACTTCTACAGAAGTTAAGGATACTAGTCAATTAAATTCATCCCATTCTGACTCAAACAATCAGCCAGATTCAATAGGGAGCTTATTATCTATTTTAAAAGATAAATCAAAAATACAAGAATTACTTTCGATGATAAAAGATCACTCTAATGGTAATGAAAAGTTGAAGAAAAAATTAGAAATGTTAAGTGAAATCGTTTCTGATGACGAAGATTTATCTAATTCTACCAAGTCCCTCGCTACTACGACAGACAAAAATAACGAAACTGCCATCGTTGAAGCTACAGCGACTAGTAATGATACTAAATGCGATAAGCATTGTGAGGAAGACATCAATGGTAAAACATTAGAAATAAGCACAGATTCTGTCTTACACGGAAGTGTAGAAATTGATTCTACTACTGAGACCACTCAAGCTCCTAGACCAAGCATTACTAGTGATAATGAGAACAAGGACCTTGATGAAAATGTAAAGGAAAATCTTGAAAGTGAAGAAAAGTCTGAAGGTTTGCAAGAAAGAATTGAAAACAATAACGACGAGATTAAAGCTATGATAGTTGAAAGTGAATCATCTAAAAATGACAAGAGCGCCGAGATGGAGATTACGAAACCTACCAAAAAAATGAAACGTAAAATGAAGAATAGTAAAGTAAATGCCCAGAAACCTTCTACAAGGTCTGCAGCTACTTTGAAAATTGATAAACCTCCCAATATAAAAAAGCCTTCAAGAGAACTAATGCAACTTCAAAATGATATCAAGGAGATGTTCTTAAACGAAGACGTTTTAAATACTTCTGGTATAAGAATGTGCCGCTTAGCCAAGCTAGTTGAAGATAAGCCTTCGACAGAAAAGAGCGAACAGATGGTTGATAACAGCCCTGTTGTGATACTTCAGAACAATAAACAATCTTTGGAAGAAACAACTTCAAAGGGCAAAGCGTGTAAGAAGAAACAATCTTTAAAAGCAAAGGGCCCACTTAAGCAAATTCCTATGAATATAGATAAAAATGAAGAGATAACAACGGAATCAAAACTTCCCGTAAAATACAAAGCTGGACCTAAATCTAAAACCAAAGTATTAGAACAAACAGATCTGGACCCTTATATGTTTGAGTCTGACTCAATTGCGGAATTAAACGATGCAAATAACAGTGAGAAGCAAGTTGGAAGTGGTTCCGAGTCTGAAAGTGGCTCTCTTGCATCATCTCAGAGCTTTGGAAGTAATGAACAAATAGTAGATATAAAGAAAAAAGTTAAAAGAAGGCGGCGCGGATGGCAATCAGGTGTTATAAAATCTAAAAATAAGAAAAAAAAGATGGAAGTAAACCAACCAGAGGTAAGAAACACCTCTGAATATGTGACAGAAAGTTGTCTAAATGTTGATGACACCTGCTTTACTGACAAAACATATTGTTTCTCCAAGAACGTAACAGACTATTCATGTCGGCTATGTTCGTACACCGGTAGCGACATCGTCTACCATCACAAGAAACGACATCCTCATTCAGAGATTCCATTGTCCCGGATGAGCCCAGATGTTGCTAAAGAAGCTATAGAGCAATCTGAGGAATTTAATTTCCAAATGTTAAATAAGTCCCCTTTTGATAAGCATGTATGTAGATTTTGCTTTGAAGAGTTCAGTAAAAGAAAAACAGTATTGGAATCTTTCTTCTGGCATGTCGTAAGTACGCATACCGGCGAATATAAGCAAGTTTGTTCACAATGTAGAAATGATAAGCAATGTCCTTTTAATTTAGATATTCCCCTGCCTCCGAAGGAGCCAAAAGGTCAACTAATAGGATACATTTGTGGAAAATGTAATTTTACACAAATTTCCCTCGAAAACTTAAAAACTCATGTAATAAATCGACATAATGATGAAGAAACTGAAGTTTACACAATAAATTTGGGCGTCATGTCGAAAAAGACGTTGTCGTTGTTGACAAAGACTACTACTGAGCCGAAGCCCAGGACCCTAAGAAGCAGCCGTGGGGCCCAAAACATGGCTGAAGTGAGCGATGAACCAAAAGAATACTTAGGAATGGCAGGTACACAGTCTGAAATCTACATAGATAAATTTGATATTCAGTCGGATACAAATCTCGACACGACACAGAACCACAAACGTAAGCAAATGAAATCGCAAATATATTTCGAAAATGAAGATGTCGTCACCAAGGAGATAAGTGAATTGAGTAAAGTAGCAAATATTAAAGTTGAACCGGAACAAGAGAGTGATATGGAGCAAGCGATGCAACATTGTGAGTCACTCGACGTAGCCTCCGTTATGCAAGGCCAAGAGCCTCTGGCTGCTGATTCCGACACACTGGAACAGGATCAACCAGCGGGCGAAGCGGACCCAAACGAACAGGGACAATTAATGGACGAGGCCGACGCACTCCAACAAGAAGCGCTAGCAGACGATGGCGACGCCTCCTCGGCTGCGAGTAATGACGTTCTCGATTACCCGCACTTCAAAGTGAATTACACGCTTGTCGGTACAAAGGAGTACGTGTGCTGCATCAACGGAACTGAGAACCATTATCGCACCGCGCTGCTAATATCATTTAAAAAACACGTGCAACTGAAACACAGCGAAGTCTGGGATGGATTTTGTTTTTTGTGTAAACTGATAGTAACACCCCAAGGGAAACATTTTTTCAAAGACTGCTTACAGCATTTTCTCGATAAACATATTGATAATTTTCCGATAATGGAGAATGAAGAAAACCCGTCGATTACCATCGACACGGATATTGTTCCCCAAACCGTCAATTCGAATGAACAAATTCCGAACAAAAATCATCTGAACGTCAGGCCACTGTCGGAACTGATCAGCCCGGCGGAGGCGACGACGCTTCCCGTCATAGAGAGCGTGGTCAGCCTGGGTTCCGCGGCCTCCGGCGCGCCGCATTCCGCACTCGCCGACTTATTTCAATTAAAAACTCAACAAAACGTATTCAGATACGAAGAAACCCAGACGGAAGTGATGGATAAGAAAAATAAAGTAGTTTTGGAGGTGATGATGGACCGCGAAAAGTTAGTACACATATTCAAGTGCGCCGGCTGTTTCTGCAGCTACTCCACGGACGAGCCCGGGGACGCGCTGCGGCACGCGATGACGCACGAGCGCTCGGGCGGCCAACGCGCGCTCGATTGTATCTACTGCGACTTCGACTCGTCGCACAGCGCGGTCGACCTGGTGACGCACGTGTTCAAGGCGCACGGCGGTTGCCGCTTCGCGTGCGGCCACTGCTTCTACCGCGCCGCGGCCGCGCAGCTGGTGCGCGCGCACGCGTTGCGCCTGCACCCCGCCCTCGGCGCTCAAGCCGCCGTGCTGCGCTCCACGGCCGCGCCGCGCGCCCTCACCGACCATCCCTCCGCCGCAGACATCCTGCCCCGGGAGATCGCAGTGCCCTACTACGTGTGCCTTCAACGTAAGTACTATAACACGACTCTAGTCGACTTTTTAGCGGAGGATCGCGTAATTTCTATTTTGCTGAAAAATAAGACTTTTAATCTTCTTAAATTTAACTTGTGTTTTGAGAAGGAAAAGATATAAATTTAAAACAGTGCAAGCGTATGATATTAGTACCGGCAACGGCACACCGTTTGAGTCCATACTAGAGGTTGGCAAGGCGAGTAGATATTAGCAATGTTTTTATTAGGGGTTGAAGAGAGGGGGGGGGGGTGTAGCAAGTGGTAACTAGATGTGTTGTGTGGCAGCGAGCGGCTGCAGGTTCCGGACGTACACGTCGGGCAAGTTTTGCGAGCACCTACAGCTCCGGCACGCCCTCGACCCCAGCTTCCTGTGCTCCGTACGTATCTCCAGATCGCTTTACTTTTACCTCATATTATTTAATATTATATATTATACTGTTGTTGCTTTCATTGGTGTTTGTGTACGGTTGCAGGTTTGTTCGTTGGGCGTGAGCAAGCCCGCGGAATTGATCCAGCACATGAAGGTGCACGGCTACAAGTTCTACCAGTGCACGTGGTGCGTGCACGGCGCCGACGACGAGGCCGGCCTGCTGGCGCACGCCGCGCGCGCCCACCCCGCGCGCCCGCCCCAGGCCTACCTGCGCGTCATCACCAACAAGGTGCCCATTATGAACATTCTCTAAACCTCCTCGCCTTCCTTTCTTCTAATATTCTTACGGAAAATACGCCTTTACAAAAACATTAATTTATTATAGAAGTAAGTGGTATTACAACCGTATATAACTTTCTTGGAAGCGATCTATTGAAACATCTCATTTTCAATCAAAAATCTAAGTTCTCTGTAAAAAAATAATTTAAAAATATATTTAATTGTAGGAAGGGAACGCCGGCTTCCGCGTCCTGCCATTGGCTCAACTCAACATTTCAAAAATTGCAACAATCGATGTTATCCCGAGTACCGCCAAGAAGGATCCCGCCAGAGAAGCGGAGCGATCCATTGATTTGGAAAAGTTGATCGGTCAAACAACGGAGATGATCGAGGCCCAGGAGTCGTCCGCC